TTCATGGGCGCGTTGGGGCGCTCCGTGGCCTAACCCCTCGCCACGCAGGGGCCTATTGCGGTCTAACCCCTCACCGCGCCGGGGTCCCACGTGGCCTAACCCCTCGCCACGCAGGGGCCTGCTGCGGTCCAACCCCTCATCACTATGGGGTCCGCCGTGGCCTAACCCCTCGCCACGCTGGGGATCGTTGCGGTCTAACCCCTCACCGCGCCGGGGTACTCCGTGGCCTAACCCCTCGCCACGCTGGGGCCTGCTGCGGTCTAACCCCTCACCGCGCGGGGGTAAGCCGAGTCTCGTACTGCCCCCGTCCTCGGTGCTACTGCCCACTGGCACGGGCGAGGTCCCCCGACTATGCCACTCGCTGTGTTCGCGATTCACGTGGTATCCGCGGGCCAAGCCCTCCCCCTCGCGTTCAGTCGGTCGGTTTCCCAGGGTATGGGTCCGCTCTGTTTGTTGCGAGGTCCTGTCTACCACACTGTTGGTCAAAAGTTCCGCGTCATGCTCACTGGGCTCGTCAGGGACCTCCGCCTCGAGCCTCTGCTTGCCTTTGGCACTGCGGTCTACTCCCTCACCGCGCAGGGGATTTTCGTGGCCTAGCCCCTCGCCGCGCAGGGGTTCCATGCGGTCTAACCCCTCACCGCGCTGGGGAAAGTCGCCGAACAACTTCTCCAAGTCCCGCCGCAGGTCTGTGTCGTCGTAATCTGCCGTCATCTCGGACTGTGCAATCTCTGAGGGGCCACGAAAGGTCGCGAATCGCACCCGTGGCGAGATACCATGAGCCTCCTCTGTGGAATGCTTCGAGCGATGCGTCTCTTCCACCTTCCGCGTAGAAGAATCTAGTTGCATCATGCTGGTGACGTCACTGATGTCGTCGTGTAGTTCTTCCTCTTCATCGTGCCCTTCCTGTTGTTGCTGTGGGGGTGGTATCCCCACTGCAGTTCCATCGCCAGCTCGGTGAGCACGATGTGCTGCAAGCAGGTGCTGCCAGACCTGTGGAGGATCATGTACATCCTGTGCGAGTATTTGCCATGCCGTCCTGCCAGTTGGTTGGCCTGGCTGCATGCGATCAACTGCCTGACATCCCAAGTCATCTAGTACTTGCCGAAGTTGATCTCGCTCTAGATCCACGTGTTCTGGAACTTGTGCACGTTGCGCCAGCTGAGCTCGTGCTCTGCGCAGGCGAAGTAGTCCGTGCAGCGTCTGAGCTCGATACCTTCGTTCATCTACTTCCGCCTCACGCCGTAGTCGCTGCACAACTTCCTTTACGTGGTTGCGCTGTATGCCATGCTTCATTGCATATCTGCTGAGCCATTTCAGCCAGATCCTCCTGAGGGTTGCGGCTGTACTCTGGCCTTTGTAGTAGATCGCTTGTGACGGCAGGTATACACCAATAGAGCCAGTCGTTGTATGCCACCTTCGAATCCCACATAGCTTGCTCAAAGCTCCATGCCCGTGCCGCGGTGGATAACTTATAGCGAAGTTCTGCTCGCTTGGCCTCGACTTGTTCGTGCCGTGGCTGTTCTGGCTCAGGTGCAAAAGGGGCTGTGCATCTGACCTGGGCCTGGCACTCTTTCATTGTGTAGTACTGCTCCTCGTCGGCGTCCTTGAAGGAACATTCATCGTAGTTCAGGGTGTTCTTCCTCTTGCCATTTTGCCATTTTTTCCAGGCTTCTCCGCACATGTCCATGGCCATTTTCCTCATGCCACCATGCGTACTGGCTATCTGGCTGTAAATAGGAAAGACGTACATGTCGGCCATGGGGTGTGGGACGCTCCACTTCATCCAATATTGCTGCAACTTGTCCGTGTTGATCCATGTTCTTACTCTGATGCGGAGGTAGTTCTTTAGCCTGTTGACGTAGTAGCTCGAGGCATTCTGTATGTGCTCGGTGCATATGTTTATGGTAGCCTCAGACTGCATGAGCACCACATTGTCATTGTCATCCGAGCTTCCGATGTCGCCGCCTTCGTCACTGACCTCTTCCCCAAATAGCGGTATCTCCACGTCAGGGTTTGCGCCAATTGCCGTTATTTTTGGTAGTAGTGGATTGCCCACCTCGCTTTCGGGTGGATGGTGCATTTCCAGCATCGGCGTGGGCCTGTCTCCTATTTGAAGCAATGAGGTAGTGAATATTCTCCTATACGTAAGGACGTCAAGCCTGGTGATGTAAGTATCAACGTTTTGGTCATTGCTGATCTGAATACTTTGCATCCCCGCTAGGCGCTGCCGTGCTTGTCGTAGCTCTTGTTGTCTCCGATGTACCATATGTAGCCATTGTATTCGATCGTTGTCGAAGAGCTGGCGATATTGCCGAAGAAACTCCTGCCTGGCTTGGTGCCCTGAGTACCAAACTCTATCGCAGATATCTTTGGTCATGATACGTCTTTCATGATCTGTGGTCCATAGCCTTTGCAGGCTTGGATCTTGTCTCAACATCATATCGACCAGGGGTAAACACCACATGTTCCAGTCAGCCTGGGCCTCTGGCGGTGACCAAACTGCAGCTTCTGTCGCCCAATGGTCAATTTCATCCTCGGGCTGATTTGTAAGCATCCATCTGGCCATCATAGCCTGTGCTTCCTCCACTGTACCCCTGCATACTGCGTGCCGTGCCTCAGCGTGCCTTTCACGTTGTTGAGGCTCTCGTTGCCGTTGCTGTGAGCTGAGGTACGCCATGATGCAGTAGTCACTGTTGTTAATGTAGCGCGTGCCCTGAGGGTGATATCCGTCCACGTCCTCGTAGATGTGGTGCTCTTTGTGCATGAGACTGACTGGCCCTGTTGAATCATCCTTTGTCTCGTACTCATCCTGAGCGAGCTGCTGCAAGTGAGCGCGCTTGATGGGGCTTATGAAAGCCTTTTGCCATATGATGACCGTCGTGCCCTGGCGGTATACCATGCCCTGATCCTTGAGCTCCTGATATAATTGAGCATCGACTTGATGTGGTAGTAAGTGTATCGGGGGGCTATCCAGATTGATGTGGTAGCAGCTGCGGAGATGACCTTGTCCTCCCGCAGATAGATCCAGTTGATGTCTCTGCCACCTGAGTGTATCGAAGCCCCGGGGGATGCATTGCTGCCATTGCTGCTGGTCGAGTTCTTTCATAGTTTTTAATGCTCGAACTTCAGCTGTCCTTGTGCTGTCGCTTTCATCCCAAGCTACATTGCAGATGGCCTTCGCCAACAGTAGTGCCCTGTGCGTGTCGACGTAGCCTTCATCATCCAAGACCGAGTCCCTAAGCCCTGGTTGACTGATAATGGCTGTGTACACGTAAGGTGTGCCCCATAGTAGCCAATCTGTCCTCGCAATATCCTTGCTGCTCCAGGCCGCCTCCGCTGTCCATGAAATGGCACTTGCCCTGGGCTTCCCTGCCAACTGCTGGTAGGATGCGTTTTCCACTAAGCCTCTGAGGGTCGCGTTCACGCCTTCTGTGTCGGAGCAATGACTGTTGGAGAGCACGCGTCCTCCATGGCAGCGGCCTGAGGTTCTTCCACTGCCAGTGTTTTGTGTGCAGCTGGATTCGGGTCTCCCTCTGCCAACCTCTTCTCTGCCGCTGCGGCTGTTGCATCGCCCTTGCTTGCCCCCTTGGCTGAGAAAGCTGCCATTGTAGCTGCTCCGTGCCCTTGGAGGTGTGCTCATGGTAGCAGGCTGATTGGAGGCCCTGTGTAAGGGAAAGCCTCTTGCCCTGGGGAGCAAGGTTGGGTTGGCATCAGCGCTTGTGCCTGCTGGCTGCTGAGGACTGGCGTCTCTGGCATTGCCCACACCTGCGTGGGTGATGGGTACCCTTGAGAGAAAAGGGGCTCCCCCTTCGGCGGCGGCGGTGGCTGCTGGGTCTGTGATGACAGCAGCGTTGGTGCCTCTGCCGCTTCTCTCGCCACTAGCGCGGCTGCCGACGCTGCTGCCGCTGCCTCTGCCTCTGGTGTAATGAAAGGCATCGCCCCTCTCATTGGCGCACTTGCTGAGGCTTGCACCAGTATTGGGCTGGCTGGCTGTGGCTGAATCGGCGCTGCAGGCTGCACCGCTGAATGATGTCCCGCAGCGGGCTGTCCATCCGCCGCAAGATTCATAGCGGCTCTCAAATTGGCGGCGTAGTGCTCCCTTTGCATGCGCTGCTCGTGCTCGTAGGCCATCTGCCTCTGCATGATGAAGGCTTGCTGCGCCTGCTGCTGCACATTTGCCTGCTGCGGCATTGTCGCTGCCGCTGCCGCTGCTGCCTGCGCCAAGGCCATTGCTCCCGTGGCATCTGTGGGCCACGGGGTTGGGTGCGGTCCTGCTGCGCTGGGCTGAAATTGCGGCCCAAGCGAAATGCCGTTGGCCTGGATGACCCTCTGGAGCTGAAAGATGGTGTCCTGTATCTGCTGCTGCTGCACGTACATCTGCTGAACCTGGCCCGTGTTGTCGACTTGCATTGTAGCACCGTTGTCGCCCGTTTGCACCGCGGGCTGCAGGTCGATCATCTCTTGGTGGATGCGATCGTCGATCTCCGATAGGGCTTCTTTTAGCTCGTCCAGCTGCTCGATCTGCTCCATCTCCTGTGTCTCCAGGAGTGCCAGGCGATCCCTGGTGCCTTTGAGCGCTATCTCCACGTTGTTGATGCGCTGGACTGCCTCGCTCCGCTGCTGGCTGAGCGGCTTGAGCAGGTTGGCGCAGTGCTTGAGGACCGCCATTTCTTATTTTGTCTCCTGGTCGCTCTTGCCGGCTCTCTGCGTAGCCAAGCAGATACTGCCCAGCGCCTCGAGCTTTGTCCTCAGCTTGTCCTTGTAGGCCTTGATGCCCGTGTGGTCTGGTGGCGGCTGCCATTCCTGCCAGAGGGGATGCGCCACTGCTTGACTGTGCAATGCTGGCGGTATTTTGCCGATGAGCTGATTGACTTGTCGCTCCTGGCCATATTGCTCTTTGACAGGCGGACGTGCCTTTGAGCGCGGCCTTGACTGCGGCCTGCCTTGCACCGTCCTGGGCTGTGATCTGCCACGCTTTCGCTGATCCCAGGATTCGCCGCATGCCGAGCATGACCAGGACCAGGGTGCACACTTTATGCCACACTTGCAAGTCCAGCCGCCTGCTTCCATCTGGGCGCTGCCTGAAGGGCGCCGTGATGAATGGTGTTCCTGCAGCAGCCTGGCTGCTGCTGCCACCCGTAGTAGTGATCTGGCTTGTCCGCGCCGACGGCGCAGATGCCTGTGCCAGGCTGGCTCCCGCTCGCGGCTCCGCGAGCGGCTCGATCGAGCGCGGGCTCCAGCGGCAGCCGAGCGAGGCGTGGTCTCGCTATGGCGGCCGCGCGGCCACGCTGGGGTCCCTGGCCGATGGGCTGCCCTATGTCCCGCGGGCTGCCCTGAAGCCAAGACGCCTTCCTCCTCCTCTTCCTCCTCCTCCTCCTCCTCCTCCACCCCCCTTTTCCTCGTCCTCCTCCTCCTCCTCCTCCTCCTCACCTTCCACTCCTTTTCCTTATGAATAACTTCCCTTAGTTGCACCCCGAGGCTAGTTTTAGGACGTACCAGGCGTTTCGCATGAGATTTCCTTACAATTTATGGCCCTGGAGTTTAAACCAATCACAACAGCTTCACAGATGGAGGGCGGGCCATTTTTCTATGTGGCTCTCGCCTTAGCGCCGCTCACATTCGTTTTATACAATTGCAAGTTTTTCACGGGCTGAGGGCAGGTCGTTTTCGCGTCGCGCCCGTTCTTTTCAGAAATGTGCAAGAGGTTCACGGATTGAGGGCGAGTCGTTTTCAACATGTAGTTCTCGCTTTAGCGCTGCGCGCATTCGTTCACACATTTTGCAAGGGTTTCACGGATTGAGGGCGGGTCGGTTTCAATATGTGGTTTTCGCATTAGCGCCGCGCACACTCGTTTGTTAAACAATTGCCAGGTTTTCACTGATTGAGGGCGGGCCGTTTTCAAAATGTGGTTCTCGCCTTAGCGACGTGCACATTCGTTTTAAAGTTTGCAAGAGTTCCATGGGTTCCAGTGATCGGCGTACCAGAAATTGCGTTTTGGGAGGAAACTGGATTCTGACGGCGCATTAGTTACGCTGGTTCGCGGTATTGAAGTCCAAGGAATGGCGTTGTGGCACGATTCAGGATCGTCAAGACGAAACAGTCAGGTTGATCCGTGGCGTTGGAGAACAATCGTTCCGCATGCTTCAGGGTCTTCAAACGGTTGTCTTCCAACGAGGCAGTTCCCCTAGTGGAGATGAACCGTTGTGGGGGCCTATGAAGAGGGAGCTTGGAGGGAGGGTTGATTCCAACATCGTCGACGATGCTTGGGTTTACATCGGTTCTCCTCCTCATCTCCCTCATCCTCCTCCCCTTCCTCTTCCTCCCTCGCCCTCCTCCCTCCTCCTCCTCCTCCTCCTCCTCCTCCTCCTCCTCCTCCTCCTCCTCCTCCTCCTGATCATCACCATCATCATCAGCATCACCATCATCAGCACCATCTCCCTCATCCTCCTTGCTCCGTCTTCCTTCCGCTTTTTGTTTCTTCCTCATGATCTCCTTCCTCCTCGTCGTCGTCGCTTCTCCTGCTCTCTCCTCGCTCCTCATCCTGCTCCTCCTCCTTCTCGTTCCGTCCTCTTCCCCAGCAACTGTGGCTCAAAATCGCAATGTCTCCGCGACAGAACGTGTATAACGCGAACCCGCGTCTGGCAATGCTGGTTCTGGCCTAGCATCAGTTTTCAATGCGCTCCTGGTGGAGCAACTGTCCGTCTGGCCTGTCACAGGCTTCCAAGACTCTTCCTGCCGTCCTGTCAAAAGGATGCCGCCGCCAGTGTTCGAGAAACATGCTTCGTCGTGTTGTGTTTGCACTCTGCGTGGCTCTGGCGATCCGTCGGTTAACTTGGGTGTAATTTCTTTATTATGGAAGGCGTGGCAAGCCTGGCTGTGTTGGAAGGCACAATGGTGCCTGTTTCCTGCGCGATGTGGAACCCAAGGTGCCGTCCATCCGCAAATCATGTCCTGGGGCTGGTGGCAGCTATGCCAACGCCAGCAGCGCAGACACCGCGAAGCTGCTGGCCCAGTTGCAAGCAGCATTTGCTAAGCTGCGGCGTCCGACGGTTCACAAGTCCTCCGCCGCTGAGGATGCGGTAAGCATGGCGCAGACGGTCGGCGAGGCCGAGCGATTGGCGATGCTTCCCTCGCTGGAAGAGACGCCGCCCGCGCACGTCGTCGCCGCTGACCTTATTGGCTTGGCCGAGGAAGCCGAGGAGCTGAGCTCGGAGCGCGGAGGTCCTGGGGCCACGCGCGCTGCGGTCAGGCGGCACAATCGCGCTGCTGCCCAGGGGCGCGGTAGGGCCCCGCGCATGGTCCACTGGCGCCCTGCCCATCGGGAGCTGTCGGGGGCGATCCTGGCCACCTCCGTCCAGTGGGCCGCCCGTCGCGCACAGCCCCGGGGAGTTCCTGGCCCGACCTCTCTGCCGAGCTGGTGCTGGCAATGGGGTCTGTAGGTCGGGTCGCTGCAGATCTGCTTCGCCTGGCCGGCCCTGAAACGGGACTCGGAAGTTTTCACGGTGCCTGGCCGGAGCGGGGAGGCGCGCGATCGAGTTCGAGCTTGCGTCGTCGCCGAACGCGCCGCCCACGAGGTCCGGCACAGTCCCAGCCGCGGGGGGTGGAGGTGCCGAGCGCGCGGGGCCGCCGCCAGGACTGCTGCGGGGCCGAAGCCTTTCACTGCCCTTCGCTGGACCCTCGGGCGCACTGAGTGAGCCCTCCGAGGCGCGGCGCTGGCTGTCCCGCCGCGCGAGCGCGCGCGCGCGCCTGCTGAGTGCCGGGCTTTGGGCTCCGAGATGGTGCTGAAACGGCGTTGGTGGCGGCCGCCGTGGCTGCTGTAGAGGGCCAGCCCGAGGACTTCGAGAGCCCCGCGGTGTCTCCTGGGAGTCCTGGGGTTGGCGCGGACGGCTCGGGGGAGCCGGATCCCGATGCCGGCTGGGGTGCGGGCCCGTCTGGCCTTTTCGTCGGGCCCTGGGCTGTCGGGAGATCGGGGGTGGACAGAACCCCCAACAGTGACACGTCGATTTGTGAATTGTCCGTTTTCGGTTCTCGAGAGGGCGCCGTGGCCGTTATTTTCCAGGCTTGCGCCCGCCAGGTTTGGGCCTCAGGTCGTTTTCACTAAACCACGTTTTACTAAAGGGGGGTCTGTCCATCCCCGAGGAGAGGGCTCGGCGGAGCGTCGCCCCGACGCTTGGGGCCCCTTCCACCGCCTCGGCCATCAGATGGCCGAGGTTGGTGCCTCCGTCTTCTGAGTGCATTGTGCGTGTCAGGCTTGGGAGTGTGGTCGGACCGTGGGGCTCAAACAGCCCTGTCGAGGCTCTCCGGAGGCCCCCAAGACCCTTAGCGCTCATAAGACCCGCCGCAAAAGGTTGTGGCGCGGGGGGCCGCCCAGATATAGCCGCTGGGGGTCTTGGGCCCTGACTGTTTCTCGTCAGGGGGGTGCCTCAAATCTGTCTTGATGTATTGCGGGTTCGGGCGATGTGGACTCATCGTTTCATTCAAGCAGTGGCGAAGCGTCCTGACTCGCTTATAAGCCTACCAAAGAATGTTCTAAGAACCTTCTGTGGCCTGCGCGACATGTTCTTAGAACATGTCTGGCTGAGACCGTCTTGTTTTAACACATCGGGCTTATGTTCTGAGAACACTGCTTTTGTCCTTAGAACAGCACTGAGTTCTAAGAACATGTCGTGGCAGGCCTGCAGGAATGCCGGGGCGGTCGGTCCCCGCTCGTTGAGTTGCGTCTCTCCTCGGTCCGTCCTTTTCTCCTCGCTCCGTCCTCCTCGCCGCTCCGCCCCCCCCCACCCCCCAGCCGTGCCCCCTCTTGCCCGCGTCCCTCCCCTCCAACCTGACCTTCCAGCAGGGCTAAACTCAGGAGGGGAAGAAACACACAGACACAAGTAATCGTCGATCCCCCCGAAAATGCGGGAACAGATGGGAAAACGGGGAAGACAACAACCCAGAACATATGGGGGAATATGGGGAATCCTGTCAGTGTCTATTTATGTGTGTCTCCCAGGGCCCCTGTCATAAACAGATAGCACGAGGACCCTGACGTCTCAACTCTTGCCGAGGGTCTCGGCGGTCCAGATGGGTTTCCAGGTAAGGGGTGCTGCTGCTCAACCGTGCCTGAAGGTCAGGGTAGCCGCCTCCTCTCCGACACCTTCCCGCGTCGTGAACAAAAAGATCAAGACTGTAGGTGTTTTGCGCTTCTCTGTTTCTGGTCAGAGGAGGAGCATCGGAGGTGGACAGACCTCCTGCCCTGACACGTCGAAGAAGGAATTGGCCGTTTTCGGTCCGCGAGGGGGCGTCGCGGCCGTCATTTTTGCGGGTCCAGGTCCATCGGTGTCGGTCCCAGGCCGTTTTCATTAAGGGGGGGTTTACTAAAGGGAGGTTTGTCCACCGCCGGGAGCACGCCTCCATACCGATGTCCTTCCCTTTTTGTTCTCCCCCCCTTTTGGGCTCCCTGGTGGGTCCTCGTCGCCACGGGTGGGTTCGCTTCGAAATGTTGGTCCGAAGGCGCCCCAGGAGAGGTCTTGCGGGAGTAGCGGCATCGGTGTTTTTTGGGTTGACCCCAGAGAAGACGGTAAGGTTTTTGGCGTCCCTCTGCCTTGGGGGTCCCCGGTCGGGCCGGACGAGCGGGCAGCATCGGGAGAGCGATGGTGACGAACTCTGCTGCATGCAGCTGGTTTCGGCCCCGCCGGGCCGGGCCCAGTCCTCGCTTCTCGGCGCCAGAAGGCGCCAAGAGAAGGCAGTTGCGTGAGCTCCGCGAGCCAGGTGCCACGGCCGCGCGCCCGCCTCCTCCGCCTGCCGGAGTCCCCTCCCCCTCCTCCTCCCCCTCCTCTTCCCCTTCCGGGGCATTCCCCCGAAGCGGCTGGCGGCCTGGCCCGCGCTCGGAGTTTCACCGCCCCCTTCCCCCGGGCTGTTGGCCGGGGCGGCGGGGCCGGACAAGTGGTGGACTTCATCTGCCCTGGCTTTGGCTTGCAGTGCTACCCTGCCGTTTGCCATCCTGCCCTTTTGCCCCCCCCCCACCGACCCCTGGCAGGCGGCTTCTCGCCCCCCGTCCGGTGGGTTCCCTCAACACAGGCGGCTGTCCGATCCTCGCCCCCCCAGCGGGGCCAGAGCAGATGTCGGGGGCGGCGAACAGGGGGGTGAGGACTAGGGGGGGCTGGATATCATGGCGGGGGCCATGATACCTCCCCCGATTTTATGGCGCCTCTTCTTTTAAGGCGCCTCTTTTATAACTGGGGGGGTCCAGCTTATTAGGGCGTTTTCTTTGGATTAGAGCTCAGGGGGTCGGGTTTATCCAGGCGCCCCGTCGAAGAGGGGGGTCCTGAATATTAGGTCGCATTTGGAGGGGGTAAGTTTTTTTAGGGCGGGGTCGATTAATCAGGGATTTGGAGTACCCAGATTTACGTCGGGCATTGCCTCCCAAAGAAGGATATTCAAACATAGGCAAAAAGTCGTATGGGGACGGTCTTTCGACTTTTTTTGGTGGGGGATTGTTTTTGCCTCTTTTTTGTTGTTGTTGTTGTTGTTGCTATTTTTCATGTTTCGCCCAAGACCCGCCTGTAGGAGGACACGCCCGATCCAAACCCAGACATTGGATGTCTCGATTTCTGTCGAGAAGGGGTCCCCGGAAAAACCCCGAGCCCTTTTTGCGCAGGGCCGATGTCTCCTCCCGAGTCGTTCTTCGGCGGACTTGAGGCCCAGCGAGGGCCCCCAGATTTCTGATGTTCCAACCTACTTTAGCCTCGATCACCAGAAATAACTTCGAGCACCAACGAACATACCGAAACTCGAGGGTCTTTGCGTGTCGGGCCCTGGAAGACACTCGTCCGACACTGCTTCGACACTCTTTCGACACTTTTCGGGGTGCCCGAAGTTATTTCTGGGATGTGGTCCTTAGGTGCGATGGGAGCAACACGACCCCGGAGGCCGAACACGAGCAGGCATCTCCCGTCGTGATTTGTCCACGGCGCGAGCACGCGTGGGCACAGCCCCCAGAACCGCCGCGTGTATGAATCACAGAGCCCCGGCATGCCCCGCTCCGTGTCGGGGATGATCCCCCAGCGTGGGGGGGGGATGCGTCGACCCCCAGTCGCCCATGAATCGCCGACTGGGGGCCCGATCCTGCCCCGTCCAGGACCTCTGCGCATTCGCCATCGGGGACATGTTTCCGATTTGTCGGCGTCGTGTCGCCGATTCCAGGTCGATGTTTCCCCCCGTGAGCCAGCCCCCTTCCGAGGCGGGGCATGGTGAATCATAGAGCCCCGGCATGATCGTGGCCCCCCGTTGTCGGGGAGCGGGGCCGAGAGGTGGGCTCTGGCCTCCGGGCAATCCCCCTCGGAAGCCTCCTGGCGGGGGGGGGTCGCGCTCGCCTCCCTGGTGGGCGCGGCGCGGTGCGACCATGATGGGCCCCCCTGTCGTGTCAGAGCGTCGCTCAACCCAGCCGTGTTCACGTGCCGAAGATCACCGAGCGCGCTCCACCACCACTCGCAGCGTGCCGACTCGCAGACGTCCAGAACCACGTGTCTGCTTCGACGTCATTTCTCGCAGAGCCCCCCCCCCCCCGGCGGATCCAGGCCATTTGTGAGTCGTCATTTTTGCGAGTAGTGGAACGCGCTCGTCTAGAAGAAGTCACGACGGGAGGTTTGGAGCCGTTTCAGCTGGACCCCGGAGCCGCCAGAAAGACTATTCAGAATAGAAGCGGCCCTGAGCAAAGGGTAGGGGGGCTTCCCGAGAGCCAGTATGGGACAAATCGGTGCATCACATGTTTGGGAACAAATAGCCCTCCAGATTGGAGCCGGCTGGGGAGCTGAAGTGGCCCAGCACTGGTTCTGGCCAGCAGTGAGGGGGGATAAAGGTACTCCCGGCGGGACGCAGCTTGAAACACATGTCAGTTTTGATTATGGACGGGCTTTGGGGGACCGAGTTTGATTGGATTCGCCCTCACCCCCCTTCTTGACCGATTTCCTCTGGGCATATCCATCTCAGACCCCCAAGCCGCCCCACCACCACCGGGCCATCTCCAGCGATGAGGTCAACGATGCCCCCCCGAGATTGAAATCGGCGATGTCTCGAGCGAGAGGGGGGATCACGGGATCCCACAACCAGGAGCATCCTCCGAGGCCCCTCGGGTTGGTGCCGATCTTGTTCTTGGATTCAAGGGAGGAACAACAATCCATACCCGACAATTGGCGTTTACTAAACGGCCCTGGTCGTTTACTAAACAGCCCCTGTTCGATTCCTTTCGTGGGTACGTTTGCTGAACGGCACCGCGTGTCGGGGTGATCATTACGGGGGGGGATTTCTGCCCTCTATGGATACGGCGTGATCCACAGCGCGTCTTTCCTCCATCCCCGACGCCGCCGGTGCATCACCGATGCGGGGCGCGATCTGTCGACCCCATCTCTGACAGCCTCGGGCAGGGCGGCCGCGGCCCTGCGCGTCAGTGGTAGAATGCTTTGCCCCGGATCGCCCTCCCCCTCCTTCTCCTCCTCCTCTTTCTCCTCCTCCTCCTCCTCCTTCTCCTCCTTCTTTTTCTCCTCCTCTTCTCCTCCTCCTCCTCCGCCTCCTCCGCCTCCTCCGCCTCCTCCGCCTCCGCCTCCTCCTCTTCTTCCTCCTCCATACAGGGAGCGTATAGGGCTCCAGACTCGAAGGAGCACAAAAGACACACAAACATAATCTTGCGGCGCTCCGTGCGGATTTCTCGGATCCGTGCCAGGGCTTCCTGGCGGCGCCTCTGGCGCCGCCCTTGGCGCGCTCCGCGCGCCAGGGAGGGGGGCCCGGCGCACATCCAAGAATTCCTTTACAGATTACCCCCGCGCCGTACGGAAAAAGCCTGTACAAAGTGGTTGGCAGCTTTCGGCCTCTAGTGGGTCCTTGCCAGACCCAGGGACTGTCAGAAACATGTCACGAGGAGCAGCCGGTTCCCAGAGAGGGGTCCACACCTCCGGAGGCCCACGCGTCAAAAGCAACACCAAAAACACGAAGCCGTGGATCTAGGTAGTTATCGCTCTGCTCGTTTCGCCCCATCTTCAGTCCGTAGTGTTGCATTGCCAATCGTAATCCGCTGACTTATTTTTCCGTGTGGTTTGCAGTGTTGCTGGCTGGTGTGGGTCCAATGTTGACGCGCAAGGGTATTGTTATATGTCCAAGCTCGTCGACCCTGGTGAGCACGCCCTTTTTGGACATGCTCGTTGTGGCATTAATGTGAGCACGCCCTTTTTTTGCCATGCGCGTTGTGGCATTAGTCACCGTACCATGGCGCGGGGAGCTGCAATTAAAAAGAGCTGCGCGCGGACTCTGCAGCAATCATGTTCCAAGACAGCTTTAAGTTTGGCTTCAGTCCAGATGAGCAGTGGCCCCGACCTATCTGAGTCCGACCTCTTCTTCCTGTCCATGTTTGCTTGCTTGGGCTTTTCTGCCTGAGTACAGGAATCTGACCAAGTCTTCACTTGTCCTCCTTGCTCCTAATTGCAATACGTGGGCCTGCTTGGTGGGACGATGGTGAGGACGAGACCGCGGAGATCCCCACGACAACAGCATATAATGTGTTAGAACCCCTTTTTATCCGACTACAAACAAGACCGACCATGAGCGCTGCAAGGCGCTCGAAGACGATCCCACCGACCCGTACCATACATCGCATAATCAACAACGAGGCATACGTACCAGAAGACAAAGCTTTAAAGAAACACTTCCGTCTCTCAACAAACCCGAGCCCAGTTGAGCGTCGCAAGGCGCCCAATTTCGACCCAAGTAGTCCTCAGCAAAGTGCAGTAGTCGAAGGGACATGAGGAAGACAGAAAGACGAGTTCGAAAACGAGGGGTCAGGGAGGAGCATGGAGGGAAAGCAGAGGGTGGATACGGACGGAATACGGCGATGTCGAGGTAGGCGAGGAGGCGGAGACGCAGGTGGCGGATAGTATTGCCCAGGCGGAAGAGGCTGCGGGGGGTGGAAGATGAGCAGAAGTAGAGGAGGAAGAGGAGGAGGAGGAGGAGGCGATATTCATAAGGAACGGTAAGAGCAGGAGCGGGGGGTCACCGGGCAAGCGCAGCAGGAGGCTGAGAAGGACGAGAACGAGGACGAGGTGATCAACGAAGAGCCGGCGGCGCAAGAGGGAGTGAGGACGCGGACACAGGTGAGAGGAGGGAGGAGGCAGAAGGGAGCAGCAGGAGGAGAAGGAGCAGGCTGCGGAGGATTCGGGGACGAGTGCGGATGAGGAAGACCCGGACAGCGAGGGCGAAGACCTGCTTTCCCAGACCTCAAACGCCATGCCATGTTCATGTCGTGACCTTGTAAGTCGGAGATCGACTACAGAAGTGATGCTGATGCGTTTGCCCCAAAGTTGACATTTCCGTCGACTCCTATGAAACAATACGCAGATTTGTTGTAGATCGGCAGAAAATGTGTGTCCCCAACCATCCTGTGGTGTTGTGTCCTCGGTTTGAAGAGACGATGCCCCGCGTCCTCATCATCTCCTCTCCTCCTCCTCATTCCTCTTCCCATCATCCCCCTCACCTTGGCACACCCCTCACACGTTTCGTGGCCCCATAGGGACGTCCACCGAAGGTCACAGTGGCATGATTCGCATGCCGCCCCCCCGCCACTTTGTTACACCCCTCACACGTTTCGTGACCTCCACCCAAGCCCCAATGGCATGATTCGCCTAATGCTGCCCCCCTCTGCACCCCCCCCCTCCACTTAGGCAAACCCCTCACACGCTTCGTGGCCCCATGCGGAGCTCCACGCAGTGGCATGATTCGCATGCCGCCACCCCCAACTTTGGCACACCTCACACGCGTTTCGTGGCCCCATAGGGAGCTCCACCGAATGCTACAGTGGCATGATTCGCATGCCGCCCGCCCTCCACTTCGGCACACCACTCACGCGTTTCGTGGCCACATAGGCAGCTCCACCGAATTCTACAGTGGCATCATTCGCATGCCGCCCCCCCCATTCCACTTTGGCACACCACGCGTTTCGTGGCCCCACAGGAAGCTCCACCGATGGCCCTGGTGGCATGAATCGCATGCGTTTCCCCCCACCCAGTACAGCGCTTCGTGGCCAGATAAGCAGCTCCACCGATGGCCCCCGTGGCGATGTCCGCATGCGTTTCCCCAACCGAGTACAGCGCTTCGTAACCCCAACGGGAACTCCACCGAAGGCACCAGCGGCATGGTTCGCATGCGTTCCCCTCACCCAGTACAGCGCTTCGTGGCCCCATAGAGAAACCTTACCGAATGCTCCCGAGGGCACGGGCTGGTTTCGCCCGGCTGGTTTCGCCGGGGCTGGTTTCGCCCGACGCTGGTTTCGCCGGCGCTGGTTTCGCCCGACGCTGGTTTCGCCGGCGCTGGTTTCTCCCCGCTTTTTTCGCCCCGTTGGTTTCGCCTGGGCTGGTCTCGCCGAGTCCGCTGCCGCCGCCGTCGTTGGTGTCGTCGCCGTCGCCGTCGTCGTCGTCCTCCTCCTCCTCCTCTTCCTGCTCCTCCTCCTCGGCTCGGGCGGGCGGGACGCATAATCGAGTGGGCACGCGAGAGCCCTAACGGGCGAGTCGGGTCGGGTCGGGCGGACCCTAACGGGCGGGTCGTGTCGGGTCGGGTCGGGCGGACCCTAACGGTCGGGTCGGGTCGGTCGGGCGGAACATTGAAGTGTGGTGCATATAATCGAGAGGGCACGTGAGAACCCTAACGGTCGGGTCGGGTCGGGTCGGGCGGACCCTAAGGGCGGGTCGGGTCGGGGCGGACCCTAACGGGCGGGTTAACGGGCGGGTCGGGTCGGGTCGGGCGGGCGGTAACGGGCGGGTCGGGTCGGGTCGGGCGGGCGAACCCTAACGGGCGGGTCGGGTCGGGCGGGCGGGACATTAAAGTGTGGTGCATCATCGAGAGAGCGCGCGAGAACTCTAACGGTCGGGTCGGGCGGGTCGGGTCGGGCTGACCCTAACGGGCGGGTCGGGTCGGGTCGGGTCGGGACGGGCGGACCTTAACGGGCGGGTCGGGTCGGGTCGGGACGGGCGGACCCTAACGGGCGGGTCGGGTCAGGTCGGGTCCGACGGCCCTAACCCTCTTCCCTCCTCCCTCCGTCCTACCCTCCCTCAGCCACCTCCTCCACCACCTCCACCGCCACCTCCTCCTCCCCCACCTCCTCCTCCTCCTCCTCCTCCTCCTCCTCCTCCTCCTCCTCCTCCTCCTCCTCTCCTCGTCATGCCCTCTCCATCCTCCTCCTCCTCCTCCTCCTCCTCCTCCTCCTCCTCCTCCTCCTCCCTCCCCCCCATCATCCTCGCCTCCTCCTCCCTCCTCCTCCTCCTCCTCCTCCTCCTCCTCCTCCTCCTCCTCCTCCTCCTCCTCCTCCCTCCTCCTCTCCTCCTCCTCCTCCTCCTCCTCCTCCTCCTCCTCCTCCTCCTCCTCCACCTCCTCCTCCTCCTCCTCCCTCCTCCTCCTCCTCCTCCTGCACCTCCTCCAGCAGCCGGGCGAAAGCAGCCGGGCGAACGCAGCCGGGCGAAACCAGCCGGGCGAAACCAGCCCGGGCGAAACCAGCGTCGGGCGAAACCAGCCCGGGCGAAGCCAGCGGCGGGCGAAACCAGCCGGGCGAAAACAGCAGGGCGAAACCAGCTCCGGGCGAAACCAGCGGTTGCCCTCTAGAGGCGGTGTCCGCATGCGTTTTCCCCGCCCAGAACCGTTTCGTGGCGGCCTCATAGTGAGCCCCACCGAAGGCACCAGTGGCGGGGTCCGCATGTTTGTCCCCCACCCAGTATAGCGCTCCGTGCTCCCATAGGGAGCTCCATCGAAGGCTCCAGCGGCGACGCTCGCATGCGTCTCATCCATCGAGTACTGCGTTTCGTGGCCCCGTAGGGAGCTCCACCGAAGGCCCCAGTGGCGGTGTCCGCAGACGTTTCCCCCACCCAGTACAGCGCTTCGTGGTCCCACAAGAAGCTCCACCAGAGGCCCCAGTGGCGGTGTCCGCATGCGTTTCCCCCACCTGGGACAGCGCTTCGTGGTCTCATAGGGAGCTCCACCGAAGGCCCCAGTGGCGGTGTTCACATGCGTCTCCCCCGCTCAGCACAGCGCTTCGTGGCTCCATAGGGAGCTCCACCGAAGGCCCCGGTGGCGGTGTTCGCATGCGTCCCGCCCCCCCCGCCCAGTACAGCGTTCCGTTGCCTGGTATGGAGCTTCACCGAAGGCACCAGTGGCGGTGTTCGCATGCGCCTCCCCCACTCAGTACAGCGCTTCGTGGCCCCATATGGAGCGCCATCGACGGCCCCAGTGGCGACGCTCGCATGGCGGCCCCGCTCCCAGTACAGCGTTTCGTGGCTCATATGGAGCGCCACAGGAGGCCCCAGTGGCTGCGCCCGCATGCGTCCCCGCCCCATTTCGGCACACCCTTTACACGCTTCGTCGCCCATGATGAGATCCACCGACGGCGGCCCTTTGCCAGGATAGTTGATGGTTTGAAGATTCGACAAAATACAACACAACTTTTGGGCCCCGGCCTGGCCTCCAGCTCGGGCCCTGGCCTCCAGCTCTGTCGACCCCGTCCAGGGGGCTGGCTTCTGACCCCTGCAGTCCCGGCCCGGCAAGGGCACCCCGGCGGCCAAGGCCGAGAAACGCGTGGCCGTCTCAATCTGCCACGCGACGGACAGCAGGACACGAGACATGTTTCCCCAACCATCCTGTGATGGTGGGTCCTCGTTTTGAAGAGACGGTCCTAGCATCTCCTCCTCCTCCTCCTCCTTCTCCCGCTCCTCCCTCCATCCCTTGCCCTTGCCGCTGCCCTCACTGTGGCACACCCCTCACACGCTTCGTGGCCCCATAGGGAGGTTCACCGACAGCCACAGTGGCATTGATTCGCATGCCGCCCCCCCTCCACTTTGGTACACCCCTCACGCGTTTCGTGGCCCATAGGGAGCTCCACCGAAGGCCCCTTTGGCATGGTTCGCATGCCGCCCCTCCCTCCATGGCACACCACTCACACGTCTCGTGGCCCCGCAGGGAGCTCCACCGAAGGCCCCAATGGCATGGCTCGCATGCCCCCCCCCTCCACTTCGGCACCCCCCTCACACGCTTAGTGGCCCCACTGAAGGCCCCATTGGCATGGTTCGCATGCCGCCCTCCCTCCATTTTGGGACACCCCTCGCACGTTTCGCGGCCCCATAGGGAGCTCCACTAAAGGCCCCAGTGGCATGATTCGCATGCCGCCCCCCTCTCCATTTTGGCACACCACTCACACGCTTCGGGCCTCCATAGGGAGCTCCACCGAAGGCCCCATTGGCTGCGTTCGCATGCCGCCCCCACCCCTCCACTTTGGCACACCCCTCACACGCTTCATGGCTCCATAGGGAGCTCCACCGATGGCCCCAGTGGCATGCAGGGTCCGCATGCAGTTCCCCCGGCCAGTACACCTTAGGCGATGCTTAAGAATACCCAAGTTTTCGGCCAGAGTCTCGATTATTCTTAATGTTTCAATGTAAATCCTAAGATCTGAATTGATTTTTTGGGTTTTTTATTCAAGTTCTGAGACTATGAATTTCTTAACCCATGATTTCTTAAGCATTTCGCAGGGTGTACAGTGTTTCGTGGCCCCATAGCGAGCTCCACCGAAGGCCCAAATGGCTGTGTCCGCATGCGTTTCCCCTACCAGTACAGCGTTTGTGGCCCATGAGGAGCTCCACCGATGGCCCCAGTGGCGGTGTCCGCATGCGGTTCCCCCACCGAGTACAGCGTTTCTTAGCCCCATAGGGAGCTCCACCACAGGCCCCAGTGGCGGTGCCCGCATGCGTTTTCCCAACCCAGTCAAGCGTTTCGTGGCTCCACAGGAAGCTTCACCGAAGGCACCAGTGGCATGGTTCGCATGCGTTTCCCCAACCAAGTACAGCGTTTCGTGGCCCCAGAGGGAGCTCCACCGAAGGTACCAGTGGCGGCCGTTCCACCGAAGGCTCCAGTGGCTGCATTCGCATGCGCCCACCACACCAATTTCGGTACACCCCTCACACGTTCCGCGGCCCCACAGGGAGCTCCACCGACGTCCCCAGTGGCTGCGTCCCATGCACCCACCGCACCCATTTTGGCACACACTTTTCGCGGCCCCATGGGAAGCTTCATCGACGGACCCGGTGGCTGCGTTCGCATGCGCCCACCGCACCCATTTGTGGCACACTCCTCATACGCTCCATTGCCCCATAGGGAGCTCCACACGGCCCAAGTGGTTGCGTTCGCATGCGCCCACCGCACACATTTTGGCACACCTCTCAAACGTTTCGTGGCCCCATTGGGAGCTTCACCGACGGCCCCAGTGGCTGCGTTCGCATGCGCCCACCGCAGCCATGTTGGCACACCCCTCACACGCTCCGTGACCCCATAAGGAGCTCCACCGATCCACCGAGGGCCCCACTGGCTGCGTTCGCATGTGCCCACCGCACTCATCCTGGGACGCCTTTCGAAGGCTTCGCTTCGCCATAGGGAGCCTCACTGACAGCCCCAGTGGTTACGTTTGCATGCGCCCACCGCACCCATTGCGGAACACCCCTAACACGTTTCGTTGCCCCATAGGGAGCGTGACCGACGGCCACGGTGGCTGCGTTCGCATGTGCCCACCGCAACCATTTGTGGCACACACCTCACCCGCTCCGTGGCCCCATAAGGAGCTTCGCACGGCCCAAGTGGTTGCGTTCGCACGCGCCCACCGCACCCATTTTGGTACACCCCTCGCACATATCGCGGCCCCCTAGGGAGCTCCACCGACGGCCCCAGTGATTGCGTTCGCACGCGCCCACCACGCCCATTTCGGAACACCCGTCGCAAATTTCGTGGCCCCATAGGGAATTCCACCGGCGGCCTCAGTGGCTGTTTTCGCATGCGCTCACCGCGCAAATTTTGTCATACCCGTCGCACGTTCTTGGCCCCATAGGAGAGCTCCTGCGAATGCGGTGCATACAACGACGGTGCTCACAACTGCATGTGGTTGGGTCCTTCGCCTGGCTAATGTTCATTATCCGTGATCGGTCGTTAGTTTTGCCCCCCTCTGTTTCTCTTGGCGGGAAACGAACTCGACACTCCTGCTGCTGCTGCTGCTGCTGCTGCTGCTGCTTCTCCTCTTCCTCCAATTCTCCCCCTCCTCCTCCTGCTCCTCTTACTCCTCCCCATCCTCTTCCTCCTCGTCCTCCTGCTCCTCCTCATGGTCGTTGTCGTAGTCGTCGTTGTCGCGGCGGCGGATATTGTTGTCCCTGTATTTTTCGGCGGTCTGCATAATATTGGGCTGTTGTCTCCCAGGGAATGATATATTTGAGGCTACCCTACACGCGAGAGGATTGGTGAGCATCTTCTCATGATACTTGCAATCGGAATCAGTGGTTGTGGTTCTAGACGTGATTGTAGTCGTGAATGTCATATGTCATCGCGATTGTAGTCGTGACTGTAGTCGTAATCGTAATCGTGGCTGTAGTCGCAATCGTAATCGTCATCGTAGTTAGTCGTCTTCGTTGTTGCGCGGCTGGTGTTGCGGAGAAATGTTTATTTTCCGTTAATTATTGGTGGGGCCTGAGTTTGTCGATGGGGGCGTCGACGTGATGATTTCGGTTCCATTTTTGGGGGGGGGTCCAAATATAGACCCATCTCGGTTACGGGGGCGTCGACATGATGATTCGGTTCCATTTTTTGGGGGGGTCCAAATCAAGACCCATCTCGGTTACGGGATCCCCGCAGTTCCCGACCTTCTCCCCAGGGCTGGTCCTGGCGAGTCGTTGTTGGACGACCCCCGAGGCCCAGCGCGGCCCCCGGAGGCCGAGAGCGGGCGACAACCTCTCTCCTCCTCCTCCTCCTCCTCCTCCTCCTCCTCCTCCTCCTCCTCCTCCTCCTCCTCCTCCTCCTCCTCCTCCTCCTCCTCCTCCTCCGCTCCGAGGTTGCCATGATGCTTTTTTACGACGCGGGCACGCCTGGTACAGTGGGGCCGCGTGCCAAGAAACCAGTTGGATTTTTTGCCAGGGTGCCCTGGGTTTCTCGGATTTCGATGAGCTCCCAAGAAGGTCTTGACGATCTTCGATCGACAAGTTTGGGCTGTCACTGAGCATATTGCGTATTTCAGGGTTGGGTTTCTTGCGGAGGTCTCTTGTGGCCGAGCCCCCACTGTACACCTTCGAGAACCACCGCATCTCAGAGATCCCCGACTCCTCCCGCTCCGAGGCTGCCCTGGCCGCGGCCCCGCCTCCGGACACGAGGCCGAGGTGGGCTCTGGCGCCTGGGCTTCCCCTGCTGGAGCCCTCCGGGGGCCGCCCGCGCCTCCCCCTGCTCGGGCGCGGCGCGGCGCGAGCGGGATGGCCCCCCCCCGCTGTCCTTCCAGGGTGCTGCGCGTCTGACCCGGGCGTGGCCGCATCGCGACGAGCACCTCGTCGGAGGAGCGTGGCCTCGGGGGCCGAGCTGTGGCCACCGCCCCCGCGCGCGCACTTCGTGCCGGGTCGGCTTGCCTCTTGAGGGGTGGTGTGCACAAGTCGTGCTCCCGAGGGATGCCATTTTTGTGCACCGCACCCACTCCACGGTCCTGTGCCGGACCAGCTTGTTCGTGGGGGTGGTGTGCAGATATCGAGTCCCCAGAGGAGGAGGTATCTCGGCGGCGAGCGAGGTGAGGAAGTGAGCAGGAACAGTTCTTCTCAGAAGGCGGCGGGTTTTCTCAGAAGCCTTCTAAGAGGCTTCCTGCGCCCCTTCTAAGAGGCTTCCTGCGCCTTCGGGGAAGGCTCAGAAATCTTCTCTGAGGGCCGGTGAACTTCCGAGCCTTTTGAGAAGGCCTTCTCCTTCTCGCTTCCCCCCGGGCTCGCCGCCGAGCATCGGCCGGATGGGGTCGGGCGTGTCCCCTATACAGGTGGATCTTGAACGAAAACTAAAAAACAACCCAGAAATACCCAGCCAGTGCCACAAATGGTCGACACACGGTCCCCAGCCTGTTTGCTTACCAGTCTTGCGCACTCCTCCTGCAGAGGCACATGCCCGACTTCACGCCAGGGACGGGAGGCGCCAGCCCTGGAGGGAGGAGGCCCCCGCCCCCCCCCCCCAGGCCGCGCCCCCCGAGGCGGCGGCGGCGGCGCGCGGCGGTGCGCCGCTGCTGCCCCCGGGGATCCTGGAGCGGTTCGCCGCGCTCGGAGGCCGCCGACCGGCTTCGCCCTCCGAGCAGTGGCCGGGTCCAGGGGGGGGGGTGCGCAGGAGGTCGGGAGGCCTCCTCCTCCTCCTCCTCCTCCTCCTCCTCCTCCTCCTCCTCCTCTTCCTCCTTCTCCCCTTCCCCCTCCTCCACCTCCACCTCCTCCTCCTCCTCCTCCCTCCTCTCCCTCCTCCTCCTCCCTCCTCCTCTCCTCCTCCTCCTCCTCCTCCTCCTCCTCCTCCTCCCCTCCTCCTTCCTCCTCCGCCTCCTCCTCCTCCTCCTCCTCCTCCTCCTCCTCCTCCTCCTCCTCCTCCTCCTCCTCCTCCTCCTCCTCCTCCTCCCCTCTCCTCTCCTCCTCCTCCTTCCTCCTCCTCCTCTCTCCTCCTCCTCCTCCTCCTCCTCCTCCTCCTCCTCCTCCTCCCTCTCCTCCTCCTCCCTCCTCCTCCTCCTCCTCCTCCTCCTCCTCCTCCCTCCTCCTCCTTTCCTCCTCCTCCTCCTCCTCCTCCTCCTCCTCCTCCTCCTCCTCCTCCTCCTCCTCCTCCTCCTCCTCCTCCTCCTCCCCCAGAGAATCGGTCAGGAGTCAGGATGGGGGATGCGACCAAGTCCGCTCAACACCTGTCCCCGGACCCCTCTGGGGATCCATCTGGTGAATTTGTGTTACCCGACTCCAGCGTGGAGGGGTGATTCCCCGCCGCCGCGTCGATATCAGGGCCGAGGAGTCGATTAGCGTCGGTTAGTACCGATTCGTAAGAGCCAGCAAGATGGCATGGGAGGCTTCCAGGAGTTGCCACCGAAGGGAACGTGTTCGAAGCGGGGATGTATACATTACCACCGCCCAGACCATCGATTTTCCGGACCTCCAAAGGCGGTGAATATGGATACATGTCGGCCCACGGGGGACAAAATATATAGTCATGTCCACCGCCCGCTGGGTCCCAAGGACGTCGGCCCCCAGGCGTCGGATCTGGATAAATCCCCGGCTCCCAACGTTGATCTGGGCCTCTCAGGTGTCTCAGGTGGGGTCTGAGTGGATGGGGTCGGAGGATCGCTCCGCATCGGCGATGCGGCTCGACGTGGAGCCCGGTTTCCCCACGCCGGCGTCGCCGATGTGCATCGCCGACGCATCGCCGGCGCATCGCCGATGCGGCGCGATCTTCCGACCCCGCTTGCTCCGACCCCAACTGGGAGGCCTCCAGTGTTAAGTCGGGCGTGTCCCCTCTACAGGAGGAATATTCCAAAATAGTAAGAATAATAGTCTGGGGACGATGTTCGGTTACTTTTGATTATGTTTGAAGGATTTTTTGACTAGTTTTTATTCTTCGTCCACAATCCGCCTGTAGGGGGACATGCCCGATCTAACTCCAGTGGCGCCTCCGCGCCAACTCTCCCCCGCCGGGGGAGGAGGAAGCAGGGGAGGCGGATGAGGAAGCATCAGACAGGAGGAGGAGGAGGAGGAGGAGGAGGAGGAGGAGGAGGAGGCGGAGGAGGAAGAGGAGAGAGGAGAGAGGAGAGAGGAGGGAGGAGGAGGAGGAGCTGAAAAGCGTCACACTGCGCTCTCCGAGGAGGAGGAGGAGGAGGAGGAGGAGGAGGAGGAAAAGGAGGAGGAGGAGGAGCTGAAAAGAGGAGGGGGAACAAAAGGAGAAGAAGGAGCAGGAGGAGGAGGAGGAGGAAGGAGGAAGAGAGGAGGAGGAGGAGGAGGAGTTGGCGGAGGAGGCGGCGGAGAAGCAGGAGGAGGAGCAGGAGCAGGAGCAGGAGGAGGAGGGCGGCCCCCCCCGCCGCTGCGAGGCGCACGGGGGGCCGCCGGGCCGTCCAGGCCAGCGCGGGCGGCCGAGGAGGAGAGCCCGCGGGCGGGGGGGGGCCCTCGCGGGCGGGCCGGCGCGACCCGCGGGGGCCGCGCGCGCGCGCCCGGGGGGGGGGGTGCGCGCCCCTCGCGCTGCTATCTCGAGCAGTGGCGAGGCGTCCTTTACCAGTTTGAAACATATCCCTATCCCTATGTTTGACTCGAAAGCTGGGCGAAGGCTGCTAAAACCGTGGCTGCTAAAACGGCCCTCCCGGAAGGAAAAAACAACTTCCCGGAATGAGGCGCGGCACGCGGAACAATCAACGGGCTTCTTCCCAAAAGGACGAAGACAACTTCCCGGAGGTCGATTTTAGCAGCCACGGACTTAGCAGCCCTTGCCCGGCTCCCGTTGACATCACCTCACCTCGATGCCGATCTCAAGGATTCCCTCAGTTTCTGAGGGCCTGTCCCTCAGATTGTCCTCGCTTTTTGCTCGCCCATCTTAGGGACAGGGATACGTTCGAGGCTGGTTAGTCCTGGCGCAGGAGACGGGGGTCAGTGCACACGGGAGTCAGCCAGAGCGCCGGACCTTGCAGGACCCTGCAGGGCCAGGGTCGCATGGACCCGGGCTCGGGTGCAGGATCCTGCAGGATCTTTCGCATGGACCTGGGTTTGGGCGCAGGGTTTTGCAAGATGTTGTAGGGTTCGGCAGGGCCTGACTGACCCGTCTCAGGGTTGACCTGGGTCAGAAGATTCCCTCAAGCAGTGGCGAAGCGCCCTGGCTCGCCTACAGCCCTACCAAACAATGTTCAAAGAACCTGTTGTGGTTCCCACGAAGTGCTCTTAGAACATTTCTGGCGGGGACTGTCATGTCTGATCACATCGGGGTTGTGTTCTAAGCATATTGCTTTTGTTCTCAGAACATTTTTGGGTTCTAAGAACATTTCGTGGTAGGACTATAGGAATGCCGCGACGGCCCTGCTCAAGTGACAAAAATGACGACGGGAGGTTTCTCGCTCGGCCTTGGGTGCCCTCGCAGGCCCTCGGGACCGTCAAAAACGGGCCCTCGGGACGGAAAACCGGTCCGGGGGAAGGGGTCCAGACCTCTGGGGATCGACGCGGGGGGGGGGAGGGGCGACAGGGGCAGCGCCAACCATCGAGAGGGAAAGAGAGACGGGCGCAAGCAAGCTGTGAGCTTCGAGGCTTCCCAGGTGGGGTCGGAGCGGGTGGGGTCGGAGGATCGCGCCGCATCGGCGATGCGTCGGCGATGCGGCCCGATGCGGAGCCCCGTTTTCCCCACGCCGGCGTAGCGGATGCATCGCCGACGTCGCCGATACATCGCCGATGCATCGGCGATGTATCGGCGATGCGGCGCGATCCTCCGACCGCATCAACTCGGACCCCATCTCGGAGGCCTCTGAAATAAATTGTACTGTCCATGGGATTGCGAGAAGTTGCAGTCAACCTTGATAGTAAGGATGAGCGATTTTCCAGGGTTGCCTTGGCATCCTTTCCCTTCGGCCCATCCTTGGGCCACTTTCGCAGGCCGCGCCCCGCTCGAAGAGTGCCAGCATGGCCCTCCAAAGCCCCTGCATCCTCACCGCGCATCCTCACGATCCGCGTTTGCTGTAGGCAGACGCAGAGACACTGCAGTTCCCACTGGGAGATGGGAAGGTATTCCCAGACAGCTCTTGGAAAGCCGAAAAGGTTTCAGATTAGAAGCCGGCTGGCAAGCCCCGGAACTCGTTCCAGCTTCCAGCAGGAATGCCGGCAGCGCCTTGTTTGACCTTCCAGCGTGTTCCGGCAAGCCTCTTCTAACCGCTTCCCAGTAGGTGTGCGGCGAAGTTTTCCAGAAGCGCCTTCCCAGAGCTGCCAGATCTCCTTCGAAGTACCTCCCAGAAGTTTCTGCCGCCTCGCTATCCCAGTTTGGACCACAAGTTGGAAGCGGATGGGGAGAGGAATATCCAGGAGATGGAGAATTCTGAAAGTTGTCTCGATTTGATGGTGTCTCCCCAGGCACCTTTGAATCAGGAGACCGTTTCTTTTTATCCACTGGCGATGACGGGCGTGATCCGGGGGGCAGATGGGGGGAGGTTGCCGGTCACGTCACGATTCGTGCCAGCGCGATTTGCGAATGGTGCACTCACCCACGCGCTTGCGCGACACGAAATGGGACCGAGGGGGTGGGGGAGAGGGGGTGGTGGGACATGCCACGGGCGTTATCGCGAATAGTAGTCATCGGGGGGGACAGAACCCCGACCTTGACACGTCATTTAGTCAATTAGTGAATTGTCCGTCTTCGGTTCTCG